TCCGCTGTATGAGCTCCTGCACCTGCTCGTTCTCTGCTTTCCTCGAGTAGCTGGGTACTTTGACACCGCTACCTCTCGCTTGCTCGTGTTCGCCTGCTTGCTTGGCATTCCTCATAGCTGCTTCGATTTGTTGCGCTTGCTCCTTCTGTACCTCCTTGAGCCTGTTGAGACGCTGCCAGGCCGGACGTTCGCTGCCATCAACAGTGTCGGTCAAGGTCTCGCTTGCAGGGTCAATGGCGCTGTCCATAGTCTGCAACTCTTCGATCCAGTTGCTTTCCTTTTCGCTGAGTTCACTGGAGCCGATGCTGACCATCTTTCGTCGAAGAGCTTCGTAACGCGCGTTGATTTGATCTTGTCGCGCGGTGACCTTCTCCAAACGCTCGTCGATGTTGGCGCTGCCGTATGTTGATCCGTTGTCTGAGCCGACTTGGTCGTTGCCGGTGACACTGTCGATATTTGCTGCGATTCCAGATGTTCTGTAGATTTGATCCCTGAACTCTTCCTGCAGACGCGTCGCGCGGTTGAACAGATCGGATACGGCGAGTTGGAGTTTGGAGGTCTGTGCAGAGAGTACGCGATGAACATCCATAAGAAGCCCCAGGTTCGCAGGAGATAGCCTAATCTCATCCTTGAGAGCACCTCTATGCCGTGCGGGGATGTTGATAGAATTGTAAAGATCGAACGGTTCGTAGAGTTCTTTTGGTGGTTGCCAAGCTTGACGCACTTCCTTGTTAGGGCCAGTGATTGCCATGTATTCGGCAATTTCCTCTTGGGTAGGGAGTCCTTCTTCAGGTGCATCGAGCAGAGCAGCTTGGGGTTCACCGTCAACTGTGGTGAGAAGAAGGTAACCGACGTTCCCGTCTTCAATAACCGCGACTGCGGTGACTTCTTGCTCGTCCACATCGCCAGTGACGCGTCGCTGTAGGTATTGGTCCACGGAGGTGTTTGCCGATTCCAATACGCGCTTGATACGGAAAGGTGAACCCTCGGTCTGTGGCTGTGATAGCTCGGTCTCCAGCTTCCTGATCCAGGGCTCCATTGAGACGTAGAAGACCCCATTGGCGTGTGATACGAAGAACGAGAAGTCGGTGTGCACATCTGGCGTGATGCTCTGATTGAACGATGGTTCATCACTTTCCACCAGTGTAATTGTTTCCGCAATGATGAGCTCGTGTTCGGTTGGTTCTGTGGTGTCGATCTCGTCTTCTGGTGATGGCAGCCATCGCCCAACGATGCCCTCAAGATCCAAGCAGACATGCACCTTGCTCGTTTCAGTGAGCAAGCACACGACAGCAGTCGGCAGACCCTCTGCAGCCTCCTCTTCTTCGCTCTCGGAGAGGGTCTTGAGGGAGAAAACAATCATGTCGCTAAGCTCAAAATCGTCAACTTCGGGCGAGATAGTGAAGGGTCCCTGTAGCAACGGCACCGCAGACGCACTGTGTGGGCGAGCGAAGACCTGAACTGTGTCACCCTGCGCCCGCTCCTCCGCGAGAGGCTCCTCGTATAAGATGTCCGACAGCCATGAGACCTGCTTCTCTGATGTTTTCAACTCGTCTTTGGGCGATGTCTCGTCTTCTGAGAGCTCGGCATAGTTGATGTTGATGGACGAGGTAAGGGTTTGGAGGAATGTGTGGCTGCCGGGCGACTCGACCAACTGCCACTTGCTCGGTAGCAGAGGACAGAGGGCGTATACGTCTCCAAGTACCGTCGCGATCCACAGCGTCATCGGCGCCCAGCCATGGACACCTTCTTGGTCTGGGAAGTCGCCAAAGCATGCCGATGCAACTTCCAGTTCGACGGAGTCGGGAGAGAAGCCCTTGGAAGCTCCGAATTTGGAGGCGCTCAAATCGTCCTGGTCGCTGGTAGCGTTTGCGAGTTTGGGCAGATCGATGGAGAGCGATGGCTCACTGAAGGTAGACCTGTCGGCGCGGTTGATCTCCCATAGCCGAACTACGCCCGCCTTTGTGATGGTGACTAGGCAGCGCCCGTGATAGCCCAATGGATGCCATAGTGTTGTTGCGACGGGCGACTCTTCGAGAACGTGTACGGTCGGTCCCAACTGGAAGGCCTTTGGCTTCAACGGGCCGTCGTCCTCACCAGCTCCGAGCAGCGACGAGTCCGGAAGGTGTATTACGTGTACCGTATGCGAGGTGGAGACGGCGAGGTAGTCTTCTTCGGGCGAAATGACAAGACGCGTGATCGGGAGTGGTATCGAGACTCTGAGTGTTCGGTATGCGGGCTGTTGCTCTTCCTTGAGGTTGACCAAGTCTGCCCATCGTATTTCGTTTCCAACAGCGACAAATATCTCACATCCCCTCGTTGCGATCGTCTTTCGCGGTCCAGGTTCCTGCTTCTTTGCTGCGACTCCATTCCCGTTTGTCTGCTTCGGCGCAAACAGATGATAGCCTGGGTTCGGTCGGCTGAGCCAGTCTGGCGTATAACCCAGTACTTTTGGCATGACGGCGAGCTCCCTCGAATAGTATTGAGAGAGTTAAGAGTGGGTAGGTAATAGTTGCGTGGATTGTAGAGGTAAGAGTGTGGACAAACAAAAGTTCCAGCCGCGCGATACAGCGCCAAGACCGACGCGTCTCGAGAGCTCCGAGCTCGACTTTCCACTCCCGATCCTTACACTCACTCCAAGACAACCCTCAATATCTTCTCAATCCCCCGGACCACGGTCGCTTCCTACAAATCTAGCCGATACCGAAGTTGAGGGCGCGCATCATGCCGGCGCTTCGCAGTACCATTGACCGCCTCGACAAGCCGAGTTCGTATGCGACAGCAAAGGTACGGGAGGCTACAACACATCGCATTAGTACTCAAAGACTGACTCTCTTCTAGAAGCGCAGACGCGACCGCAATGGACGTGACGATGACCGCGGCCGCTCTCCCTCGCCCGAAGACAAGCTGAAAGACGCAACCACCCTCTACGTCGGCAACCTTTCCTTCTACACCACCGAAGAGCAAATCCACGAGCTGTTCAGCAAATGCGGCGAGATCAAGCGCTTAGTCATGGGCCTTGACCGATTCCAGAAGACACCATGCGGATTCTGCTTTGTCGAATACTACACACACCAGGATGCGCTGGACTGCATGAAGTACATCGGTGGCACTAAGCTCGACGAGCGTGTCATTAGGACGGATCTGGACGAGGGTTTCGCCGAGGGAAGGCAGTACGGACGCGGAAAGAGCGGTGGTCAGGTCCGCGACGAGTACAGAGCCGAGTATGATCCTGGTAGGGGCGGATACGGCAGAGCTGTGGACGAATACCACGAAGCGCAGTAAGATGACGATGGACTACTATCTCTCGGATCACCAGGACGTTAATCACGAGAAAAAAACCTAGGCCATATTGATCAGGAGAACCTCGCGCCGCCGCGCCATCCCACGTTGGCAAGCACGACTACGCTGAAACTGAAGACGATGAAGGGCACTCAGTTACATGGGGAAGCTCACCCAACCCAAACTCAACTGGGTCTCGGAACACTGCAAAGTAGGCGTCCGGCGTCTATCATTCGGCAATGTTCATTAGTGCTTTAGTTATAAGCACATGCTCATAGGGGGTAAAGATACCATACTAGATACCTTCCCAAAACTCAGTACCATCTTCCAAACACCCTCTCTTATGCTATACAAGAATGCCGCCCAGCCATGCGCCCGTTAATGTCTAACATTTTCTTTCACTCATCTAGTCCGGTCCGCAAGTTCAAACTGCTGTCGCCTTTTCACGGCCTTTACAACCTCTCCCAACCACCAGACATGTATCCGTGGGTCATCCGTCAGTTCAGGATGGAAACTGCACCCAAACACATTGCCCTGCCGTACCGCTATTATATCCTCCGCACCCGGATGGTCATGTGCCTGATTCTCCTGCAAAGGTTTCGCGTTGGTCGACAGCGTAGCCATGACCTCAACCTCGCTTTCCAATTCCTTCCTCGCCAAATCATCTGCTGGCGTCTTACTCGGCGCAACAATTGTATCGTCCCTCTCGCTCTCCCCTTCTTGTATTCCCACTGCCTTCTTACTCGGCAACAGCTTTTCTACAACAGGCGCGCGGATGAAGACGCATCGGTATGGATCGGTCTTGTTCGTTTTGCTCGTTGATTCCAGGAAGGGCAGCTGGAGGTTTGCCTGGAAACTCTCGGTCTGTCGCCCGAAATGATTCCTGTTCACTCGCACATCTAGACCTCCAATCAGGTCCTGGCCTCCCTTCTTCGTTCTATTGGCACTCTCTGCTAGTAGAATCAGGCCGGCGCATGTACCCCACGTTGGCTTGCGCTGCACCTTGACGAAGTCGCGGAGAGGCTCGAGCAGGGCGCTTCGTGCTGCTACAAGCGACATTGTTGTGCTTTCACCACCGGGGATGATAAGGCCGTCGCATTGTGCAAGCTGGGCTGGTGTGCGGACCTCAATGAAGTGGAAGGTTTGCGACGAGGGGATGTTGGAGGATGCCGCGCGGAGGAGTTGGATGTGTTCGCTGAAAGCGCCTTGGAGGGCAAGGACGCCGACCGTAATATCTTGAGTACCGTTCTTTACCGTCATAGTCAAAACAAATCAGATCCCAGAAACTCCGTGACTGTAGGAAAAAAAGGAATTGAAGCGTCAAGCAAATGTACAGTCATGCAACGGAAAGTGACGGCAAAGGCGAAATCTTTATCGATAAGCCCAGCCCCCACTAAAACTCGGTAATCGCCCGCGCGAGCACATGTCACCTCACACATGCGTTTGGTTCAGCCCTATTGATCCGCTTACCCCGACGCGGTGCCACTCTTCGATCTACCTCTCCATCATCGACACTTCGGACCCCCATTGATGCCGTGAACGATCATGACATGTAGATGCCCACGCGTTCTACACATCACGTCAAGAAAGGTCGTACCTACACTAAGGCTTCCAAGGCTCATATAAGGCGAGAGTCCTCCTAGTAGTCTAGTCTCACTACTTTAGCCGATAACGCAATCCGGTCCAGTATCAGCCTAGGAACAGTGGATGAAGGCGCTATGATCGACAAACAGGATGGAGAGCCAACGGGACACGGTCTCACGTGCTGGCTACTGGACACACGATCGCTATGGCCCGGGGAAAAGATCACAGATTCAGAATCAGTATGTCATCTCACAAACACTTATCTGCCTAGAACACCGACTAACCACGTGTAGGCGCGAGAAGCGCTCTCCCTCGTCACCCCCGAGGAACAAGACCTCATAAAACGCAAATACCACATAGCAGATGCGCGAATGAGCCTAGGCTCCGCCCTCCTCAAACGCCTTTTCGTCCACAAAACTCTCGGCATGCCATGGAAAGACATCCGCTTTGGCCGCAAACGCGATCCTAAACACGGGAAGCCTATCGCCTTGCTAATACCACCGCAACATGGCCCCGCTCCCGTGGAATTCAACATTAGTCACCAAGCCGGTCTCGTCGCCCTCGTAGGCTGCGCAACCAATGAACTCGACGCAGAAGTTGGCGTGGACATCGTCTGCGTTAACGAGAGAAACGACTATCGCGTTGTGGACGAAGAGGGATTCGATGGCTGGGTGGATATGTACGCTGAGCTCTTCAGTGGAGAAGAACTCTTCGATATCAAGTACAACGTTGACCCTTTCCCTCTTCTCGACGGCACAATGGTCACGCACGAAATTCTAGGTCGACACGATCGCTGTTGTAGGCGAAATGAGCATCTCAGCGTTACGCTACCGAACGGAGAAAAGAGGGAACTAGATTCAGATTTACTCATCGACGCGAAGCTACGACGGTTCTACACGTTTTGGTGCTTCAAAGAGGCGTACATCAAACTCGATGGCGAGGCGTTGCTCGCAGAGTGGATACCGCAATTGGAGTTCAAGCATGTTCGTGCGCCGAGGCCGGGGACGCCGGCGCGGTGTAGTACGCATGGGACTTGGGGTGAGAGGGCAAGCGACGCGGAGGTCTGGTTCTCAATGAAAATTGATGGAAAGGGGCCTGCAGGTGTGAGGGAATTGAAGAAGGGAGAGTGTGGGAGGTTGGAGGATACGAGGGTGGAGATCCAGGCTTTCGAGGAAGACTTTATGATTGGGGTTGCGGCGAGGGAGAAGAGAGATTCGGCGGTTGATGGTAGTAGGAAGAAGCTGCCGGATGTTTTGACGCATTTTAGGGGGTTACATTTGGAGGAGGATGTCATGAGTGTTGCGAGGAGTGCATAATGTATATTCGGTCTTTCAGGTGAATTGGGTGTACTACTGGGGCTCGAGCTACAGCGGCGGTAGACGGGGAGGCTGCCACCTCGATCTTCAGCTAGTTAGTCGTCGTTCGATAGTATTAGCAAGGATATCATACCGATGCAACACATCGAGCACATCCACTCCCTTGTGCATGTGCTCAACATGTTGTCTAAAATTTTCTAATCGCGGCCATATCTTAGGACGATCCCTACAATCTTCTATCACGCATTGGTAAGAATATCTGTCAATATCTATCCCATGCAGACTCTTCTTATGGCGCTCGAGATCGTTTACTGTAGTAAATCCCTCTGTCCTTTCACATCCGAGCGCGTTGCATTTGAATGGCTTTAAATGCTTTAACATGTGTTTCCTGTTTCCAGTCAGTAGGCAGGTATTTGCATGAATCTGGATACCATACTCGAACTCGGAATTGCATTTTAAGAGTTCTCCACACTCTGGACATGGGTACGTTCGCTTCGCGCGGCGCTGGTCCTTGCGTGTCGCTCCAAAAGAATCGCCCATGGTCGTCTTCTCTGTCTTTTGCGCTCGAGCCCAAGGGGTCTTTTCGCGAGGGTACTTTGATTGTGTACATTGCGGGGGGGAGATATTCGGTAACGGTGGTTGGCCCATGGTCGTATCTGAAGAGGGTTGCAGTGATGCAGGGAGGAAGCTCCACGCTGGAAGCGGCTCCATCATGCCGGAAGCGGGCCCTGTGGCAATCAGAGGTTCTGAGGATATCAAAACGTCACCGATCTGTAGTGATGATGCAGCCTGGCCAGAATAGCCCCATACATTCATATAATAACGCTCTTCTGGCGTTGACAGTGACTCCGCTTGAGGTACCATCTGCTGCTGAAACTGGAGGTCATATATGAGATTCGCCTCAATGATAGACGTTGCTGGTGATTGGAACCCGGGGTCATAAGACATGGGCGAGTTCTGACTGAACCAGGAATCCTCGGCTATCGCCGGAGTGAAGTCGGAATAGACTGGAGGTACGACTTGCGCATGTAAACTGAGACTCCTCATGCACTGCCCACAAAAAGCGTCTGGACAGCACGTCCATAGCTGGCTCGTAATCGTTTCAGCCGACGGTCGGGCTTCAGGTTCGACGTTGAGCATCTGACATGTCATTTCGATGACATCCTGCAGCCAGGTGTCACAGCTAGGACTTATCTTCTGCATGAGTGTGAAGAACCCTTCGATATGATCTCGATACGGAGTCATATCGGTGTCTAGTGGACCCAGTACAAGTGCACTAAGGATCTCAAGATAGACACATCCAAGCGAGAATATGTCTGTCTTAGAACTGCGTGGGGACCATTCGTGCAGCTCCGGGGCAGCGTACTTGCGGGTTATCGAGGTAGGGCGGCCTGTCGTAATGCTACGCGTAGCTGCGCTGTAGTCCAGGGAGGAGCCAAAGTCCGTGTAAATTACAGACTCTCCGTGTACTAGGATGTTCGATGGCTTAATGTCCTTGTGTCGTACTCTTTGAGCGTGCATGAACTGCAAGCCACTAGCAAGACACCCAAACGAGTTGTATAAGGTATTCAACTCAGACCCCGTAAAGAGACCGTCATGAGAATCCTGGAGGAACGTTTCCAGCGAGCCGCGATCGGCGACCGGTGTCAGTAAGATACCTATTTGACGCCTCCCTACGTATGTCGCAAAGATCCGAGTGATGTGGTGATGCGGAGCTAACCGGCGGATGACCTTGACCTCGTTATCAAAAAGGCGTTGTCTCTCAGCTGAAGAGCCGCCAAACTTGAAGACCTTGCAGGCCAAGACCATGCCAGTATGTCGGTCCTCGACTTCTTCCACGTTGGCGAATCCTCCTTGCCCCAGGTTGCGAAGTAACTTGTACGGCAGCTCGTCGTTGGGTTCGAGGAAGTAGTGTTGACCTTCTTCGATGCGCAACATCCGCTTGGGGCCGCTGCCGCCGTTCATTGTGGGCAGAAATTATTTGGAGGTGAGGATAGGCAGTCGCTGTGCTGTGTCGACAGACGTGGGGAGCGACTAACACATGTTAGCTGCTGGGCTGACAGCTCTACTATCCTGCCTCGAAGCCCCAACGGCTCGTCGCTAGAGTAACGACCTGGGTCGCGATGTCAGCGGGTTCACAGAGTCGACGTGCGACGCGCTGAGCTAAGATGTTGGGATCGTCCTGTGGTGGCTAGGTAAAGACGGCCTTCGTGGTAACTATGGGAAAACGCGTAAACAGGCAGCAAGAAAAAAGACAGGTAGCTTCGAGGTCGTTGAGATGCTAGAAGTGAAGCATACGATCGAAGTTGACAAGGCTGGCTCGCGCCTGGTTGCATGGCGCAGGCTGAGCGCTGCACAGGCGATTGGCCCTACCCAGGTAGAGGCACTGCTTGCAACCACGTCTGCAATCGCGATTGATTTTCAACTAGACCTCTAGATACTGCTGCGGAGCCAACCCCTGAGAAATGACACTGCAGAGGTTGCATGAGTTGTATCTTAAGGAAGATGAAGTATTAGGGTTCGGATTCGTGAAGAGGAGAAAGGTGGCGTGTGCCACACGCGACTGAACAGAGTCCGACTGACTTCCAACATCGGTGCGACAAATCTCCAGCCAAGAGAGGCTTTTAGGTTATTTATCAGTATTTCCATCCGTAGTTGGCTGTCATGAGGGTCAAAGGAATGGAAGCGCGGCGAGCCTGGCATGTTTCGTAGCGTGGCTGAGTAAGCGCACCTGGGCAGGTCCCGATTCCGAGATAGCCTCGGCGGGCGCGTCATCCTGCGCCCTCAATGTAAACTCTCTAGAACACTACCTACCTGGTCCCTTCGCAATACAACGAACCCTACGAGCACGCCGAGAAACTCAACATGCCGAAGCGCCTCATGTTGGTGCCTAGTCTGAAGATGCCGAAGAAGATACGCGTCATGATTGCTGGACCCTGAGCCCATAAGGTTTGATAGCTACGTCAACGCACCCGAAGTCAACCCGCAGCTATGCCCAGATGTATATTACACCCCTCACCAACTCAGTATTACGTCCGCAGTTTCCGCCTTGCTCTCACGTAGTCAATTGAACGATATCTCGAACCCCCCATCCTCAAAGCAATTCAGAAACCGCCACAATGTCTTCCAACTCGCTCAACTACCCGCTCCTCGCGATTCCAGCCTACTATGTCTTCTCTCTCGTCCCGCACATATACGCAGCTAGCCTTCTCACAGCCAACGGCTACAAGATCAACAACGCGAACCCCAAGGCAGCCTTGTCACCAGAAGCCGTGAAGGGCAAGGTTCCCGATGCCGTGTAAGGCGTCTCCACACTCCCCACCCAACTTACCTTGCTAGTCAGGTACTAACAGATCTACAGCTTCAAAAAGTACCAACGCGCCGAGAACGCCCAGTCGAACAACATGGAACAAATGCCCCTCTTCGCCGCCGCCGTTATCGCTAGCATCATTGCCGAACGCACCACCGCAACAGGGATAGGACGAGAGGTCATATCAGGCGATGCAACGGGCTTGACAACATTTGTCACAGCTTGGTTCGTAGTCAGGGCCGCGTACTCTCTTGCATATGTACAAATCGCGACTTACTCGAAGAGTATGATCAGGAGCGGCCTTTGGTCTATCGGTAGCGGGCTAGCAATATACCAGATCTACAAGGCTGCCGCAATCTTGGGCTAGAGATCATGGACAATGAAGCGGCATGGTGAGGACGACAAATATGACAAAGACAACATGGAACAAGAAATCTAGTGTTAGGACTATCCTTTAGATTCGATGTGCAATGAGATCAATTACTACTCAATTCAGGTGTGCCGGCACCTAGAGACTTCCGAATTCACGATACCAGCGATCGACACTTGCCAGTGTAACCTCACCTCGCGTCGCCGTTCCAAAACAAACAAGGCCCAGACACGAACACGCACAACGGTAACACGACTATATCACGCGTGGTGGCGTAGTCACACTGGGATTGGCCTAGAACTCACGACGAAGTTTATCGAATGTATGAGTAACACAATAAATCTGCAGGAGACTTTTGCAATTAGCCAACGGCCAAACTGCCCTGCGGCTGTGTATATATGTGCCATTAACTTTGACACCTCACGTCAACGACCTGATAGCCCACTTTCGATTAAAGCATGGTTCACCTTAGAACAGGGCTATCACCTCGCATCCACGGTTTGGCACTTGCAAGCCTTTTGAGCTGTGTTGCGACGCAATCATCTTCGGCTTCCTTTCTCTACCCAGAGTCCGCTTCTTCTGCCTTGACAATCAACGCCCATGATCAACTAAATGTCAAATGGACGTCAAACTACGATCAGGCCTTCTTACATATGTGGTGCGACGACGACAGCGGAACTGGCGAACAGGCGCTGTGTATGTCCTCACTCTTGTGTGGTTACCATTAGCCATAGCTAACGTACCATGGGACGTGAAAGGGTTATCGACTGAAGTCAACACTATCGGCAGCATGAGATACTCGCCATCGACCGAAAACCTTACGAGTCGAAACTGGGATACACCCGTCGCATGCCACTTCGACATCCTGCCTTTCGTAAACGACACGAATGAGCAGGAAGGCCCATTCCTCACAATCAAGTCAGACAGCGATAGCGCTCCAACTCTTTACGATCAATCGTTCACATCGCCGCTAGCTCCTACAACCAGTATGACGACGACGATCTCCCTGCCATCCTCTTTCGCTATTACTTCGTTGCTAGTCTCCAGCGTAACAACGGTATACGGTCAATCATCCACATCACTCATCGCATCTACTACTAGTTTGACGACGACCTCCATATCGGTCTCTTCATCCACTAGTTTGTCGCCTGTATCCAGCGTAATAGCGGAGAGGGACAGCAAGACACTCTCGGGTGGTGCAATGACAGGGGTAGCATTGGGCGCAGCATTCGCAATGGTGGCGTTGGTAACAGTAGGATGGTTCTTCTTTCGGTACCATCGGAGGATAAAGGCGTTGGAGACAAGAATGTCTGGAGCTGGCGGCCCAACGGGACATCCGTCGCATAGATCGATACCTATACTACCTGCGGAGAAGCGTGACAGGCCACAGGCTGAGTTGTCTGAATTGGTGGCATAGAATGCGGGAACCGATGTTTTATCGTTAAGAATCGGACTGGCTGAATCTCAAACTTTGTCAGCGTTGCCTCCCCACGCTCCATGTTCGCCCTCCGCCTTTGGCTTCCCGATCCTCTCTAGCTGCGCTTTCATGCCCGTACTCGTCGCCATAGTCCTCATGGCCTCATCACAGTACTCTACACCGTCTCGGAAGTAGAAGTTCTTCCCAAAAAGCTCCACAGTCAGACCCCAGTTATCCTTGCCCGCTACCTTCCTCCCGTTAGCGTCCTCAATGTCTCCTCCATCCATCACCTTCACCACGGCGTTGACGACTGTGTCCATGGGTGTCATGAAGCTCTCTGGGAGAGATCCCCATTCCTCTTCGCTCAACAGGCCGGTGCGAACGATGCTTGGGCAGACCGTGAACGTCCTAATGCCAGCGTGGTGGTATGCTACTGTGATAGCACGGTTAAAGTGAATTACTCCCGCTTTAGCACCGGAGTACATAGGGCCGAACTCGGCTGGATAGAGTCCACCACAGCTCGCAGTCATGACTAGGGCCGCGTCATTGTTCTCTCTGCCATGCTTGGCCTGGGATTTCCGGAAGTAGTGGAACGCGAGCCATGAGGTATTTATCACTGCCGTATAATTGACATCGATTACGAGGCTGTTCGGCGGTGGAGGCGGCGCGTCGAGAGCGTGTTCTTGGTAGAAATCTAGGAGTTGGTGATCAAGTCAGTCGGTGTCTGATTTGCCGTACGAACAGGGTTGCTACGCACTGTCTTTTTCGGCGATACCAGCGTTCGCGAAGACGAAGTCGAGACGACCTGACTTTGACCATGCTGATTCGAAAGCCGCTACCAGCGAGGCGTAGTCGGCTACATTCGCCTGGTGAGCGTGCCCATTCTTGAGCGAGGACGTGGCTTTCGTGAGATTATCAGCGCTGAGGTCGACAAGGTGCAGGTCCCACTCTTCATTAGTACGAGCTGCGAGGGCTTCAGCAACAGCGAGTCCCATTCCACTAGCCCCGCCAGTAATGAGAGCTACTTTCTTGACCATGTTGAGATTGTTGAGTCGAGTAAATTTGTGATTCTTGTAGAGAGTGAAGAGGTGCCAAGGGTGAAAGTGTGATAGTAAACAGCCAGCGTGTGAGTGTTGAAGATTGGATGGTTTGGGGTGCAAGAAGGAAGTCGTTGGAATTTATAGATTATGTGTACGAGGGCGACCAGCGCGCTTGAAGAACTAGAAGGGTTGAAATGGATAGTACTAAGGTTGCGATATTCCTGCTCTGCATCAACATTCCACCGTAATAAGGTTGCGATATGTGCGATGAAGGGCACTTCTGCGAGCACGTGATGCCAAGGTACACGCTAGAGCCACTCCTTGTGTGCATCGGCGTGAGGACGCCGACGTCATTCTGACTCATTCTCACTCATTCAGCGCCGGCTTTACAATCGGCCGGTGGCTGAAGCGCATCCTCGCGTAGGCATCCGGGTCTAATGCGCGAATGTGCCCCGAGATGGTAGCAAATGCGGCGTCTAGGTTGCGCATCATGCTTTAGATGGCATCGTCAAGCGCCGGCTTTGTCGGACTAGACAATGCAGCGAGAAAAGGCGCCTTTTCATATTTAGACCAATACCCCAGTCAAATCTGTCGGAATAGGGTCCTTTCTTGACGAACTTAGGCCCGTACTTGGACTTCAGCAAGTGAACCCGATGTTGGTTGGGGAGGTCAAGAGGCAGAATGTCCCTCATGCTGTCCTGTGCAGACTTGTTTTCCACCCGACCGCGCTGGTAGTGGTGCCGTCTCTCCTCCTTTCGTAGCTGGCGCTTCGACATCCTGCCGCCTTGGCTCGACATGCCGCCGTCAAACGTCTGAGCAGGGCCTCAAGGCGAGCGCAATGAGGACTAGAGTGTGGTGTTGTGGGCAAGGCGCAGGAACTTCGGTGGTGAGAGGACTGCGGGTTGCGGCCTGAGCGGCGGTCGTGGAGAAGCGACGGTCTCGAGTAGGCGTCGTTGGTCAGGAAGCGGCAATCGTGAGTGAGCGTCGACGAGGGAGGCGCAAAGTTGATGGCCGGTGTCAGAATAACGCGCATCGTGGCGCTCTACTCTAATGGTGATCCTGCGACGTCTTGGGCTCTCGTCCATATTTTTGCTGACGAGGAGCATAGACGCGATAAAGGCGCGCAACTAGCGTGTGCGATCAGCGGATACATGCCAGCGGTGATGTCGCGGCTCCGGCGTTGTTGTTGTGCGAATTGAGGGCGGGTTTGGCGGGCCAGAACAAACAACCACAATTGCGGTCGCATCACTCTGACAACCGGGCGGTGCAGGCGCTCGCGAAGGAGAATGGAAGCAGCATGACAGCGCGTGTTCGGGGCGGAGGCGTAATCGGCGTCAAGGTACAGTCACGAAGATGTAGTCGTGAGATGTAGTTATGAAATTGATGATTAATCGCAGCGGCTGCCTGCTTGGCGCAACAGTGTTGTCGGATGTGCACGACGTCATTCAAGATAGGATCCAGGTGTGGCTTGAGCGGTGTCAGGTCGGAGGCTGCAGATAAACGAACGATTTTAAAGTTCCACCTGAACCCAGTGTCTGCCAAAATGCTTTTGCACGCATACATATCGGCATCGAGATGTCGCAAGCCAGCGTAAGCAGGGTGGAAAGGATGGGCTCGTCTATCCGTATCGAGTTGCGTTAGAGCAGCTAAATAACAAGACAGGATATCGGATAGATAGGGATTACAAAGACAGCAAAGGCTTTCCTGTGGAGGTATATTAGAGAAGACATTGAAGACCTCTCTTTGAGGTAAGAGCGACTTAAGTCGCTCGTGCAGATTGCGCTGCACAACACCAGTTGTTTGTATCCTTCCAGGCATGGAGAGGCGGCCTTGCTCACACCTGCGGTAAACTGTCGCAAGCGGTCGAGAGCCGCATGGCATACTTCTTAGATCAAGCAACGCGCAAAAGCATCGATTGAGGATAGCGCGACCAACAGATTCAAGATATTCTTCAAGGTAGGCCCGAACTTGAATCGTAAGTGTGGGACCGTTATCTCGGTCGTTCACGTCGGCAGTATTGATGCGCCAGGGTTCACGCATCCTAGCCCCCGCAGTATTTCTTCTGGAATCTCAACATCCCCGAAGGCTTGGTTCTGCATCCTCACTCGCTCGTTTCCTTGTTCAATTCGTTGCAGCTGGTAATACGGAAAGGATGTTTTCGTCAACTCCCCTCAAGACAGCCGCATGGCTCGCATTCACAGCTTCTTTGAGCTCAGCCACACCCCAGTATGGCACTTCTCCAAAGGTCCAGTTCAAGCACTGGCCTGCTGAGGCAGCGACAGCCCTCTCCACCATGATCGCAAAGAACGCCAATCAAAGCAATTATGCGGTCTTCGACATGGACAACACCAGTTACCGCTACGATCTCGAAGAATCGCTTCTTCCTTTCCTTGAGAACCGTGGCATCCTAACGCGCGACAACTTGGATCCCACCCTCAAGTTGGTCGACTTCAAAGACACTGCGAACTTTACCGAATCGTTGTACAGTTACTACAACCGTTTGTGCGAGATTGACGACTTCGTCTGCTATCCATGGGCCGCACAAATCTGGTCTGGCTTCACACTGCGCGAACTCAAGACCTATGTGGATGAGCTTATGGCATACAACTCATCCATTCCCACGAAGTACTGGGACGGTGACGAAGTCACATCCAGCAGCGTAAACCCGCCGAAGGTGTTCCGGGGCCAGGTCGAGCTCTACAATGCTCTCATGGACAATGGCATCGCCGTCTATGTTATCAGCGCCGCGCATGAGGAGCTTGTCCGCATGGTGGCCAGCGACCCGAAGTACGGATACAACGTACCACCTCAAAACGTCATTGGCGTTACCACCGTCCTGAAGAACGTTACCTCCGGCGAGCTCACCAACGCTCGCAAGCAGATCACAGAAGGAACCTACAACGAGACCGCTAATCTCGACCTGGTCGTGACTCCGTATCTGTGGACACCTGCTACATGGTTTGCCGGAAAATGGGCTGCTATCCTTACCTACATCGATCAATGGAAGCGCCCCATCTTGGCTGGTGGTGACACTCCCGGAAGCGATTCGTACATGCAATTCCACGGGGTCGACACAGCAAAGGGTGGTGTGCATCTGTGGATCAACCGTAGAGACGCGTACTTTGAGCAACTGCAAGAGGAGATCAGGAACAACACTCAGGCGCAAATTGCTAATGGCAGGGAGGTTACGGCGGACAAGAACTGGGTTGTTGTCAAGCCCGAGGAGATTCTGTAAATATGTAATGCAAAGGTGGAGAGGCAGAGATGCGATAGATAGTGGCGGATGAAGGTAGCCCGCACTCCACGGCTGCCGAAGAGAAATCGCGCTAGTTGACGTAATCGCTCGGCTAAGCTTTCTTCCAGCTTTTAGTCTCCCCCTTCTCGTGCCTGTTATCGACGCGTCAAACTCACCAACCACCTCACTCACCCCACGCGCCGCCACTAACCATGCAAATAACGCGTGAAACCAGAGCGCATGCATGAAGGGATAGTAAGTTGCGCCCTCGTTGCCTTCCACCTTGTCCTTCCTTCGATGATGATCCCACATTACACTTGAACCGAGAATCTTTAGTTCCGGCCCTTCCTTCGTGCGCCTCGTGGTTTGCGAAAGCTAGCCCGGGTGCACTGGGTTGGGGCAGACTTTGGTTTCGATGCGCGAGTAGAAGATAGCTCTGATTTGCACAATATTGCACCAGTAAACCCATTTCGGATGTCATCAGTACTAACGGAGACCGACTAGTTCAACGTACAATCATGTAATATAGTGGTATCTAAAGCGCTGGCACGATGTAAAACGAATGCCGAAAGAAAATTCATCGAAAATAAAACCTAGCTGTTATCTTTCGATCAGAACCACATCAGCGTCTGGTTTACTCTGATCATCTTCCCGTACCTCATCCGGCTGCTCTTTTGGCATTTCGGTCTTCTTTTCCGGTTCCTTGTACCAGACTTCACTTGGGTTTGCCAAGATACTCTTTTGCAGCGCGTCGCTGAACATCTGCATCACACTAGACGCGCTCGCATCTTTGACACGAGTCTTTCCCATGGTTGTGTAGTGCCTAACGAAGTTCCCGTTGCAATCCGATATATCCTTGTTGGCGGTACCAGGACGAGATAACATATCCTGGCGGAAACCGGGCCACCCTACCGCATCGTCGCAGGGTATCGTAACGATCGTTTCTGGCGTCTTGTTGAAGTCGTAGCGGATGTATTCTGAAAAGGCGCGCTGTTCGTGGCTCCATTCGTATCTCCATTTCGCGCAGCCTTTGTAGCGTGTTTCGGATGTACAATCGCGCCACGCATCCAGTAGTTCCAAAGTCGTGGACGAGTTCTGCGCAACCACAAGGCCGGTATTGAGGACGCGCATGCCCTTGCTGTCTAGGCTAATCGAGCCTTCATCGCGGATTTCTTCGGTATCCCATGGAAGAGCTATGGATGTGTGCTGTTTGATGCCCCAGCGATTGAACATCCACTCGAAGGGGACGTCCGGATGCGCTATCGTAACGTCGGCATCCATTACAATCACGAACTGATATTCAGGTATCAGTTCGCGCAGAACGTGGGGTAATATCCACGTGTTGTAGTGGTCCTTCATGTCGCGCGCTTGATAGAACTTGTAGTCGTAGCCATGGACCATGGCGTACAGATAATGGTTCATGATGGAGTTGGAGACCAGGCCGGCGCCTTCGGTCTTGAGGTTGTCCCAATCTAAGCGTTCTGGGTTGAGAAGCTCGTTCTCGCCAGTCGGCACACGCGTGTCGATGTCCACTATCAAGACCTTTTTGCCCAGAGGCTTCGTCCAAATCGTCTCACTTCCACCCTCATAGTATGTACCGGACGGATCGACATATTCGGTCGCGCTCGGATCGTGTTTTATGGACGCAAACAAACTGGCAACCGTGTCTCGGAGGGTTGGGTTCGATGATCTACACTGGGTGTTAGTGAAAGAGGCTCTACAGCAGGACCTGGATTGACATACGGACGCGTGATCCTCGCCACGACGAATACGCCTTGGTCGCGGAATGCATAGAAAGAGAGTGTTGCCACTATTACGAAAGTGGCAATGGCCACAATATAGGTACGTTGCGCAGCGAGCATGATCAAAGGAGTGACAACCGGGGAAGCAAGAACGATTACCTGTCCACGAAACCTACGAGACAACGAGTGTTCAAAGGAATGGGATGACGCAGGATAGCATTGGCCCCACGGGGAGCGAGTTGACTATCATCAAGTCGTGCCATTACGCCGAGCTCTCCAGCAATGCGCGTCACTGGTTCCAACCCTGTCATGTAGCGGAAAGATACACGGTCAATCCATGTGCTACGAGCTAGGCAAGCTCCCAGCACAAGAGATCCGACGAACACCGCTGACCCGTACGGTAAACTGTTGCGTTTCAGTTCCCTTATGGTAGATCCGGCGAGCGGTTTCCCAAGACCTGCAGGTAGCATCAATCTTGTAGACTCTACGACCGCATTGACATCTCATCATGAGAATGAAACGCCTCGTTCACTCGCTTTGGGATTGTACGGCAGATCCCCAAGGAGGTCCGTGGTATGACCGTTTACTGATCGCGATCACGGACACACCAATCGTTGAGTTCTCGGCCCCATACGGCTACGTGTAACGGCTTCGCGATTGTGGCTGACGACAAGTCTCATGGAAGCTACTAGCGTCGTCGACAGCGTTCCCATCTGATCACAACAAGGTATGCGGGCGACTATAGCTAGAAGCAAGTACGATGCGCTCAACCCCTTCACACACATGGACAGATCGATACACACGGTGGTGCTTTTGTCAGTATGAAACAGAGGCCTTTTGTCGCAACTCCATCCCGATGTCATGATTTGAACGCGCCCGATACGCCAAAGTCAAAACAGCGTTTGGATCATAAAACGTGGCGGACCGTTGAACGTAGTATGATTACTTCGGTATGAACTTGACGGAGAAGAGGCGGCGCCCGCGGATGGGAAGTAGCGCCGATTGATACATCCCGACGCTCCCGCCGCCTTATTTCCTAGTTAAACTCAAATTTATTAATCATGTACACAATGCGCAACGCGTGTGCAGAGGACAGTCTTTAACAAAGTTCGGTGTACGCTTCCAACATCGGTGTTGCAGGTTGTAGTACACCTGGACACTCAGACTAGCGAGGTGATGCTGAACTGAATGAGCCGACGCTTAACTGTACAACAATTACTATCTCGCGCGATGTTACAGCTTGCTTTCACATCTAGACAGCGACGTAAGGGCGCGCGTAAGGATGATGGCATGTCAGCACTAATACGCAATGGCCCATGCCACACGGCAATTCACCATCTTGCATCTACGACGATCACAATTGCATGCGCCGAGATAGTTCTATCGCATTGCGTATACATGTGTCTGTCATCGCATTCTTGTTCTCCCATTTTTCACTGTTCAGACTTTATCGTCTTGCTGTAAAAACTACTACATGTAGAACTCATGGAAGGTGAACTGTCACTAGGTCACGATGACTACAAGACCTTTTGGAATACTCGCCCCTAAACTTCTCGTTCGTCCGAAAACTTCCGGTCCAATTTGCCGAAAGTGTTGTCTGACCAGAGTCTACAGTAGCATGACATCGTACGTTTTTGTTTGCGACGCATGTTGAAGAAGGTAGGCGAGATGACAGCGGGAGAAGCGCCAAGCATCTCGTGACCGAGGCAATTATATAATCACGTTCAAGTTTCCGATCTCCGCCCGCACTCGCTTTCGTTCTCGAGAGCGCGATCCAACCGCGCCACCCCAGCCCGCATTCATCCATCCACTCACGTACGGACGGGACGTGCATCTGAGCTCGCACGAATGCCTAGGTTTGGCTCCAAGAAGACGCGTTCGGGATGCGCACAGTGCAAAGCCAGACGCGTTAAGGTAGCTTCCCCTTCCAAGTCTGTCGCGTCAGCGTATACTTACCCACATTCAGTGCGATGAGAGTAGACCATGCGGCGCTTGCACTAAGTATCACGTCGAGTGCAGCCTTCTGGGGGTTGCAAGCCAAAGTCCAAGCCGTGTAGACACAACATCTCCACGTAACGATCCTACCCCAATGAACGCGTCAACACCCACGAATGGAAATGGAACAACACCACTGGATACGGGCCTAATCCAAGAGGGGAGCGCATCTCCATTATTAGCAGGTGTCTCAGAAGAAGGCTGGATGCAGGACTTGGAACTGACGCACCATTATACCGCACATGCATATCAAACTATGCCGGGCACCGAGCACGTGAAGCAAATCTGGGGGCTCGCTGTTCCACAACAAGCCTTCAAGTATCCTTTCCTCTTACACAGCATACTAGCCTTTTCCGCGAATCATCTCGCTTACATCAACACCTCCAGGGCCACACACTTTCGTATGGCCGCCTCGACACATCAAAGCGCAGCACTCACGGGTCTAAATCAGGCCGTTGCCAACATTGGGCCTCTGAACTGCCATGCTATCTTTGCTGCAGCATCAATGACTGTTATCAACGCATTTGCTGACGCGCATGCGTACAACTTGGACGTTTTGGTGGAGATTTTGCAGCTAGCACGCGGCATGGATTATGTACTCACCAGTGTAACCGACATGCTGAGAAAAGGTCCCTTCGCAGCCATTGTCCGGCCTGCTGAAGAAATGCCTAAGCCGCCGTCTTTGTTATCTGCCCTCCTCGTGGACATCCAAGCGCTGAGCTGTCCCACTTCTGCCAACCCATCGCCGGACGACATCAATGCTGCTAGGGCGGCTGAAGTACTCCGAAATGGTCTTCAATATTCGTTGGAGACTTCTACTCATCCAGCCTTGCGAGCGACAATGATCTGGCCGATCGCTGTCGCGCCGGAATTCATCGAAGCGCTCAAATCAAGGACACATCCTGGAACTAGGGCCATCTTCAAGCACTATTGTCAACTCATGGAGTATGCAAGTACTGACTTCTGGTTTTACACAGGATGGAGAGGAATTTCGCAACACCTGTGAGGTGTCGTACACGTTGATCTCCCCTATAGCCTCTGCAACAAAGGAACGGAAGCATTGATGAGTTGGTCTAATCATCTCCTAGATTTCGAAGACTCTGACATTGACAGGTTTGCAGGAGCAAAATGAGATGTGAAAGTACTCATGCCACTCCCCGCATTCCACTTGCGACTCAGCGTATGTCTACTGTTTTTCACTGCAGCGTCTCATTGCCACACTGTCAGCTGGGTCAATCTCTGGAAGCGCACAGTGGCTTCCACTCTAGTAATTTGCAGTAGTGAATCAACATCACGAACGCATCGTGTGCATATAAGCTCCCTGGTGTTGTACCTTTCAACACTCACATCCAAACACGACCACCACCTACTTCTTCGCCTAGGCAAACTGCGCTCTCGGAATCCACCTACCCGACTACCAAAGTAACGGTCGCTGCAAATAGATTCGAATATGTCAGGCGCATCCTTCTTCAAGGCCCTGGGCCTTGCCCCAACGGCATCGGAAACCTCGGTTCGGTCGAGGTTCAAGATTTTAGCTCTAGCTTACCATCCCGACAAGACAAATGCAGTTAACAAAGCAGTGGCTACTTCCCGTTTTGTGGAAATACGACAAGCTTATGAATATTGCATGTCTCACCTCAGCCCGGAAGAAGAAGTGGAAGAAGACTACGAAGATGAAGAAGATGATGATTCGGACTGGCGAGGCAAGCTTCCTGCCGGGATATTTGATGCGAACAGCGCATGGTGGGAAGGACTACAGGGCGATGAGCCCATGGCTATCTTGAAATGGGCCGAGGCTTGTCAAAACGCCCAACGCTTCGCTGCCGTCAAGCTTGATGAGGTGGAGCAACGTAAGCTCAACGTCAGTTATCTTAAGGCCTACGAAAACTTCGAATACTGGCGTCGTAAGCATATTGAAAGATATGACGAAGAGGACCGCATACAGCAGGATATCAATGCTCTTCCAGAGCGTCTTCAGGTCCACGTCCGCCGCTCTCTCGAAGCTAAACGAGCCGAGCAGGATTATTGCTATGAACAATACCAGGAAGATCATGACGAGGAACAATACTTTTGGGAGCAAGAGGCCTTGGAAGATCCCGATTCCATACCTATGCCGACCGACACGTGGCGCTACCGTCACAATGCGGTAGAAAATAGCGCCACCCCCAAACAGCACCTCGTAAATTTCAGGATACAGTGCGCGGCAGTCGAGAAGCGCAACATAGAATGGAAGGAACAAGGCATCGAGTACTATCCTCAATTGGAGATGGATCGCCGTGCCAGGAGGCGCAAAGCCACGGAAGCTAGGCTTCTCGAGGATGTTGCGCGCGCTGAGAAGCAGGCTCGCGAACTAAAGCTGATCAACATGGCCAACTCCGCGAAGCGTGTTGGCCACCTTGCCAAAGCAACCGCTACCGAGCTGATAGACGATGTCATACCTCAGTGCCTGGAAGATAGTCCCAAAGACGATGCTGTACCTCACAGTCTGGAAGACGGTGTTGAGGATGAGGCCGCATGATTCACTCTTTACTTAAACTATCAGCTATCGGATGTTGGGCATGATGGCAGCGATCTCTCATGAATTTCGCTCTAGCACTCATGGTTAGCCTTGCGTGCTCCAGACGGTAGGGTGGTAGACCTAATCAGAAAGCATCCATCAAGTCTTGCTGCATTACTTCAAGTTTGTCTTTCTGCCTTCTATTGCGATGAGTTTTACACGCGCTTTCTACTGTTCTATCAAGTCCAATCAGATCTCCTTTGTAACATAATTTGCCCCAACACTGTCTATGCTGGAGTTACTCCCCACGCTGCTGGCCTCATGTCAAACTCCGAAACCTCCGAAACGATCTCCGCCGCCTTCGATCCATAGCACTGTCCCACAACCCATAGCGAAGTGTCGATACCCGAGCTAACTCCACCAGCGGTCACAATGCGCACACCCGCCTCGGTAGTGCCCGCATCCGACCATCGTTGCCTCACAACGTTGATTTTCGAATCACCGCCCGCAGCTTCATCAGCGAGCGTCTTCTGCAGGTCGAGCGACAGATGATGTGTTGTGACGGTACGGCCTGCAAGTACTCCAGAAGCCGCCAAGATGAGGCCTCCAGTGCAAACAGATTGCAGAAATCTCTTGCCCGTCTCTTCCCTTGGCTTCGTGTTCGAGAATCGTCGAATAAGCTCAGCCAACTCTTTGCCCTCTTTGCTGCTGATGAGTTGTTTGATGGTATCGTCGTGCGCGCCGGGAATGACCAGGATGTCGTATTCTTCAATGCGGCTGGACATGTCGGCGAAAGTGGCGTTCGGCAAGTAGACCATGGCTTTGGAGATGGAGGTGACGGGGCTCTGATGGGCGAAGGTCGTTACTGAGAAAGGAGCTGGTTTACTCATGTCCATTTCCATGTCGTGGTAGTGGCAGTATATCTCGGCTGGACCAGAGAAATCCAGGAGGTCGCCATCTGGGTAAATGTAAATTGCGACTTTGAATTGAGACATTGTTGCGTTTGGTAACGAGTGAGTTTATGGCTACATGATTTTATATGGTCTTGCTTTTCCTTTTTATAACCACCGGCTCATCTCTAGTGTAGTGGTGTGCCTGATCTTTCGTAACACGATGTGCCCGGATCGGATGTAAGTTTGTGCCCGACTTCCGCGATCGTCAAAGAGTCCGCTCCGTATGTTGTACCACGAGCAAGTATGCACTGACTAATGTAGCCTAATATCATCGTGCGATGTATGGTTGGTTTATTCTTGCAGAACCGAAGACCAGATTCTAGTCATTCGTGCACGTGTCAACATCGGGTGCTGTCGGTGTCTGCTACACAAGCACAGTAAATGCGCATGACGACGTCGCCTGGTGATCGCGCCCAGGGATAATTGTGTCGAACGGAAGATGCCTATATCAATACAGCGCCCATTGAGAGATTGTGTAATCGATCGAAATGAACGCGGTTGAAATATTTGGAGATTGCTGCGGCATATGTCCCAAACCTAGCACCGAATTCTGCCTGCACTGCCTCAACATGCCCTACTGTTCCTCTACCTGCCGTGTCGCAAATGCGGAGAAGCACGCACCGCTATGCAGTACTTTGCAATACTTCGGACAGAGCGCTCGCCCGTCCTGGTTACATTCTCGTTGTATTTTCTTCCCAGTTGACTACTCACAGCCACGTTTTGTTTGGCTGAAGTATTATGGATTACCTTGCCAGCGGCACATTGACCGCGAAGACCTAAGATTGTTCGTGAACGGTGTACCTTCCGGTGGGGACGCAACTTTTGACTGCTTCCGCGAAGGTAACAGGCAACTACGTGATCGGATCACTGTTCGGCATGACAGTAACGCTCTTGGTAACAAGCAACCCTACAACCAATGTATAATGGCATTACTTGGTCAGGTGGCTGGTGAATATTGGAGAGGACCACTGTTGGCTCAGTCTTACAGGTATCGCGTTGTTGACGACCTGCATCGATGGCCTACGGGGGATCGAACCGAGGCGAGTGAAGTTTTGATCCCCGTAGATCTCGATACTACTTCCCTGGCGCCGATTCTCTCATTCATGAAATGGAGGGCGACGTCGACGGATGACTATAACTTGACTATCGCTGCGGAGGACGCGACGCTTAGAGCGACTATCGTAGGGAACCTTTCTCCAAAGAAAGCTTCACCGAAGAAGTCCTCACCAAAGAAGAAGAAGAAGTGAAATCCAGTCGACGGTATATCGGTCGAGGCGGAGGATGAGATCGAGGGCGTTATTAGCTGCAGGAATACGCCTGCCGGCGGTTGGGCGGGGACCTGAACTAGCCGTCGGTCAGGAAGAGAGTGTATTACTGTACCTGGCATGGACATGATAAGCGTTTCTATTGATGGTTTTGCGCAGTAAACGTTGCCTACAGTGTGGGGCCTGACGATGTGAAGGTCATCCTGATATTTCGCACGTAAGCTGACACTAATACTCTCAAATGTGATCGTCCTGCCTGTGATCTAAGATAGGCAATGTCTGCAATGTACGAGGCGACAAAGGTCAAAGATTTCTCGCGGAAGATGAGTGGCGAACCATTTATGTCGCTGTGACGAGGCTTGTAAATTGATAAGTGTGCCTACCTCGAAGATGTAACATCTTGGCTTAACACATATAGCGGAGCCTGCAGGCCGTCTGCATATCGAAGCAGCTTATCTAGGCGCTAGAAATTGTTCTAGATGATCTTCACCCATTGTTATGGGTCGATAAGCCGTGGGTGTCGTTGCAGTGAGCCCTCGCGTACCTAGAATTGCCTGGTCGATCCGCAAATGCATGCAGATGGGACTTTCATGGCCCACCATCCAGGCAGACGGAACCCTTATGATTATAGTTTTTCGAGAACAAGTAAGCGATTCATTGGAAAGAAGGTGCCTATGATCAGCATTGACTTCATAGAGACGAAGTGATGCCGTGTCATCTCCAAATGATCTTACCTGCCTCGTGTTGCAGTGGTGCCCATGCTGACACGATAACGAGCTTGGAAGTCTTCATCCTTCCCACATCCGAGTATTCTTGAGCCGACACTTGCCCTATGGCCTTATCATGTTCCTCATCTTAGCATACGCGGTGGCAGCAAGCGCCCAGACGCGCTGCGCCGCTGGCCAAGCTTCGATGCACACGCGACGAAAGCACCAAGGCTTCGCACTCCTCCACACAAACGTGGATGATGATTCCCCACAGTGTTCTGTTATCCGTGTCTGGTCCAATAGCGCGTCATGTCTCGAGTGGAGTGGTGTAGCCATGGCTTGGCAAAACGCTGCCGGTCAACCGACCCTTGTTCGGCCAAGACAGGACGAGACGGAACTCGGAACGCAACTTTGCTTGTAACCTTCCATTTCGTTCGATAGTCACCAGCGCCGCCAACAGTTCCAAGGGTCGAGTCCCAATGCCTGGGGAGATAGTCTGCACTACTGTCGGGCTTTCCGTCGCGACCTAGACTCAGACATGGCGAATCGATGCCCGCGGATCCAAGTGGCTTGTCCTTGTGATAGGCCGTGGAGACTGGGGTCGGGCGTTGTCTGAAAGTACGGTAGCATCCCGAAGTATTGGTAACAGAATCGTTATCTCTTGGTTGCCACACAAGTGATTTGCAGATACCAAGGGGCGGGGTTCGTGTATAAGATGTCCTGGCTGTGCGTGACCGACTAGGCTGCCTGCTCGACTGCTGTTCCACCACTCTCTCGGAATCCGAAGAAGTCTTTCATTCTTTCCGCCTGCCCAGAATCTGCCAATCATGGGCGAAGCCGGAGAAGTAAAGCACGGCGAGGCTGCTGTTCGCACCACCTCGAGCCCGAACAGCACTCCGTCAGAAGACATCATGCCACGGCCGACCGTCGCTGAGGAAGAGAAGAAGACGTTTGTGCAGAGAGTCATGACGCCAGGATCAGTATGGCAGATCATCATCGCCGCTCTTCTAGCCATTGCTATTGGTTTGGCAGTTACCACTACGGTAGACGAAGTACCAGACGCGGCCATCACGATACTTGCCATCCCAGGTAACCTTTGGTTGCGCGCATTGAGGGCAGTCGGTATGTTGCGATGAAACCTCTCTAGACGCGTGAGCTGATTATCGCAGTCCTTCCAATGATCGTCACCGCCATGATTCTGGCAATCCAACGTCTGCGCAACATGACACAGGGAGGAGGTGCAGCGGGTAAACTCGCTCGCTGGACAATTGGCTACTACGTCATCACCACCATCATCGCTGTCGCACACTCTGCCCTGCTAGTCGGCCTGGTCTGGAGTAAACTCATGAACCCAGTCTCAGGAAGTGCTCTGGATCTGGACGACGAGAACAAGGAGCTTGTGGACGAAAGGAAAGAAACTGCCATCCACGATGTCGTCGAAGACATGTTCTTCTCGTTGGTTCCCAACAACATCGTCAACGCCCTAGCGACCGATGCCCTCCTTTCGGTACTTGTCACGGCCGTCGTCCTTGGATATGTCATCAAGCCAGGAGGTGCAATTCATCGAGCCGTCGAAGAAGTCGAAGTTATCGTCCTCAAGGTCATCACAGTTTTGATCCACCTTGCGCCTATTGGAGTGTTCTTCTTGATCATGCCGAATCTGTTCCGTCTCGATATTGCTGAGATTGGGACGAACCTGGGTATTTTGATTGGCGGTACCTTGGTCGGCATGTTCATCCACCTTTTCATTGTAATTCCCATCATTTTCTTCGCGATCACCAGATCCAACCCGTACACGTTCTGGATGAAGATGAGTCCAGCATGGATTACCGCTTGGGGAACCGCCTCCAGCGCTGCGACCTTGCCTGTTACCATTCGCTGTGTTTTGAAGCAGGGTATTCCCATCACAGGTCAGTCTCCATGGTTATAAGTAGTCGATCGCGATCACTGACACACAGTTAGTAACCAAATTTGCCGTACCTCTCGGTTGTTTGATCAACATGGATGGTACTGCGATCTATTTCCCGATCGTCGTCGTATTTTTGGCCGCCACTCAAGGCATCACCCTGAACGCTGCCGATTACATCATTGTTATTCTTCTCTCGACTCTCGCTTCGATCGGAACCACACCTATTCCAAGTTCGAGTTTGGTCTTGGTTGTCATGATTGCTTCCAGTGTCAACATCCCAATCACCGGAATGTACGCCGTCGTCATCGCTATTGACTGGTTCCTCGACCGCTTCCGAACTGCAATGAACGTCAGTTGCGATACTTTCGCAGCCAAGGTTGTCACGCACATAACGGGGATCAAAGACGAAGATGGTCAGTCGTACGATGAGGCCGAGAATGTCGACCCGAACTCGCTCGGACGAACAGATGAGTCCAAAGTTTAGATGCTGTCTCCCCGGTTTAATATAGCGGTCTTGAAATCTCCGAATTCTTCCGAGCTCAATCTTAAGTAATGCAATCCTCTTTCGCTCATACTCAACAGCGTTCCTTCTCTTTGTGATCGTGAATCAGGCTACTCATTTCACGCGATCTGACGGCGTATTTCGTAAGGCCATCGCATCGACCAGCCATGCCGGCATGCCGCGTGACAAGCGGACCTCGGATTGCGCGACTTGGACCATCGGGTCAACAACACAATGAAAAGAATACGCAAAACCAAAGAGTATGTTGTGGAAGAGATGAGCAGTGCTGCAGAGCGTTTGCCGTATATGTCCTCGCTCCTGATATACGCGCGCACGAAGTCTGGAAATGTGGCCAGTCCGGAAAATTAGCCGGCTCGGAAACGTAGTCAGTCCGGAAAAATAGCCTGGATATCGCCCCTGTGGATCTAGCAGTTGTTCAGGACCGCGAAGTGCTGTAGAGAGACAGCATTCGTGGGTGTTTTCGTGATGACACAGTCGAACACTTCGTCGTGGCGGTCGAGAGGAAGCTTCGCTCCACTTCGCGCCGAATCACGGGTCTTGGCGCGTTAGCTACTTTCGAACCCAGCCATCATTGCGTCATGAACACGAGGCACAATTGAGATGCCCAGGTGTGCCTGCAACAGAAACGAACGCGTTCTAGTCGCGACTCTTAGGCGGAGTGGGTCTATTGAGCGCTGAGGAGATAACTGGCATGGAGGGATGGTCAATGTCGTCGCGTATGACGACGTTCTGGTCCAGCACCGTCCAAGGTACGTGTTCTGACCCCTATCAGTCTTTACTTCCTCATACGAGGGTTTGCATCATCTTTTGTTTTCGTTCGAACATTCTCGTACAGCTCAACGCTACGCGATAGTCAACTATTCGTCTCTAGTCTATCACGCGACGTGGAAAGTCGCGTCATTGCGCGCGTTATATAGTATCAGCGACCCTGGTTAATGCACAACCCGTTCGCTTGCAGACCTGTCGCAACCTATACGAACAATATCCAGAGCAATGCACTTAAAAACACGCGGTGTACATAGGAAGGCTTTCACGACAGCCTCGCGCCTCGCTGCTACAAGCATTTTCGCCCTTGCTGACCGCTCGCGCATCTGCCATGATGGCTGAAGGAATGATACGTAGCTCAGAGCGCCCATGGCAAACAGGACGCAACAAAGCTCATACTTGGACCGTTGCGCTATCCGCAACCAAGAGACCTCGCCAACCCGATCAATGGCATGGCAAGAGTGCCTCCGGGTTCAAAGGGTACTAGAGCCAGAGTGATAACTAATCCTCATGCTAGCAACAATTTACTTCGGCACGTGGCCTGGAGCTCCAAGAGATGCAAATTGCTGTGAGCAATGGCTACAGGCCCGTTCTTCCACGTACTCAGTTTGCCATACTTCTTGGTAGGTCTCCCCGGATACCAATGTTCTGGAAGATCTGGTTCACGTGCGGAAGCTTTAATTAGTCCATTTGCACCAATCAGCAGCCAGATCGGATGCTTGGCCATTGCGATCACAATATATCGCGGGGAAGACTAATGCGGAGTGCAAGATGATCTCGTGAGATGGCTCTCCGTGTCCAGTGTGGTATAGCGTCAAAATGCTCAGAAACCGAAACGGTACATATCTTTGCAATACGCGTAGAAAATGAGGAAGCACACTCAAGCAGAGAGACCGACCAAGATGTTCTACGGTCTTGCTTCGCTTTTACTGCTAGCTACTAGTACTTCGGCTGCAGTAGTTAGCAGGAAAGCACCCGCTAGCTTTGTCACAGCCAAAGGCAACGCCTTCAAACTAGACGGAAAAGATTTCTACTTCGCAGGCAGCAATGCCTACTACTTTCCCTTCAACGACGTAAGTATATTTCACTTCAGAGTTTCCACACTTACTGAAACTTCACAGCTCCAATCTGATGTAGAGGCTGGCCTGGGTGCCGCTAAGAAGGCTGGACTCAACGTCTTCAGGACATGGGGCTTCAACGACCGGAACAGAACAACACTCGCGAACGGACTACCACAGTACGGTGGCGAAGGTGCCGGTCCCAGTTCAAACATCATGCAATGGTGGAGCAACGGAACACAGGAGATCAACCTAGTACCGTTCGACAAAGTCGTGAAGGCTGCGGAGAAAACTGGCATGAAGCTCATCGTTGCTTTGACGAACAATTGGGCCGACTATGGTGGCATGGATGTCTACACGACCAACCTCGGCTACAAGTACCATGACGATGTAAGTCACACAGTCTTCGCCTATATGATCATAGACTAACATAACCTTCGTTAGTTCTATCATGTCCCAGCCATCAAGAAGGCGTACAAGAAGTACGTCAAGGAGATCGTCAAGCGCTACGCCAAGTCTTCAGCCATTATGGCGTGGGAGTTGGCGAACGAACCACGATGCGGTGCTGATGGTGTGCGCAACTTGCCGCGCAGCGAGAACTGCACCCCTGACATGATCACCGAGTGGATCGATGAGATGAGCACATACGTCAAGTCACTCGACAAGGACCATCTTGTTACATGGGGTGGTGAAGGAGGGTTCAACAGGCCTAGTGACGATGGCTTCTACAATGGATACGATGGTGGCGACTACGACAAGGAGTTGGCGCTCAAGAACATCGACTTCGGTACCTTTCATACCTATCCCGATTGTACGTATATTTCATTCGACAGGCATCAACACTATCATTCTTTGAGCAACACTGATTAGACTTGCGATAGGGTGGTCCAAGAGCGTCGAATGGGCAAACCAATGGATCATCGATCACGCCGAAGCCTCCCGTGCCGTTGGAAAGCCAGTCGTACATGAAGAGTATGGATGGCTTACCGACGACAAGAGGCAAGAATACCTCAGCAAGACCTCGAATGTCACAAGACTTGAAGCTATCGGACTATGGCAGGCCACCAGTCTGAAGGAGAAGATGCCGGATATGTACTGGCAATTTGGCTACTCCGGCTACTCTTATGGAAGCAATCACGACGACGGATTTACGATCTTTCTGGAAGACGCGGAAGCCAAACAGCTTGTCTACGAGCATGCGAAGAAGGTCAATGCTTTGAACAAGAAGTGAGATGTTGCGCTGTCTGGTTTGGCTCGCGCTTGTCTCACAGCAAACAGTTAGTGCTGTATGTACTAGTGCTCTTTCATCATGCAAAAGGCGTATGCTTGACAGGTAATGCGTCAGAACTGAGTTGCATCTTTATGCAAATTGGTTCGGTTTGCGGAGTGTTCCCACAATGTATATAGTCAAATCCTTTCACTTCCTCCCCACGCCGCCCGTTATTTCGTTCGACATCGTGCACTGAAAAGGGTGCAGCAACGTAGTTCAATATTTCCCACTACACCAACGTGTTTCTTCGATCCTGCCAAGACGAATAGGTTGCACTCCTCTTCCGTCCGACTATACCACACTAGCTTCCGCTACTACAGCCGCCTGAATCTACACCATCCTAGGCCTATTATTTTACGCCCATTCTCAGACCATCTCATACACAATCTCAAGTCAGTCACCCGATTCTGTCGACGATGTGCGGCTTCACATGCATTACATACAGCGAGTGCGCCCACACCGCGCTCTCAACGAAGCCCGAACACACCTCTCTTTGCTTTAACGCGAAAGAAATACACTTGGTTCAAGGTGTCGACTGTGCACCCGCGAACTGTGTCCCGACTGACGACACCGAAACCCAGATTGCCGCTGAGAACACTATCTTTGATTACTGCGATGACTGCCGAGCCGAAGCACGCGCTGCTAAACCGATTGAGCGCGGTGAAATGGACGATATCGTCCAGGCTCATGCGCATGCAGAAGAAGAATATCAAGGCTCGTACGACGAAGACGAGACGGAGCAACTGAAGGATTTAGCCACCTACCTCGATGTAAAGCATGCTGCCGGTCTTGAGACAATCCAACAGCTCAAAACCTTGTCATCAATTCCGACCGTTCTCGCTCTCATCACAGACCCCGAGCTCCGCGCTCTTCTGTGCGCACCAGACGTGGAAAAACACTTCGCTACTTTCAAGTACTGCTCGGAACTTTTTCCAGTCATGGGCAGTTACATCCAACAGCGCGCTCCAAACAAGGTGTTCGTAGAGACATTCGTGTACCTGCGCGACAAGGCGAAGAAAGCGACGGCGTTACTGGAGTGTTTCCAAATCGTCATTGAGTGCTTGCTAAACTACGAGCCCTCCCGACCGGAAGAGCACTTCAACGGTAGCGAAGCCCGATTAGAGTTCTTTGGCAACATGCTCAAGTGTATGGTTACTGGTAGGGATCTTGAAGTCCCTCCGATCGCCTTCCATTTTCATGAGAGCAGCTTTGTAGTTCCCGAAGCCACCATTCAGCAGCTTGAAGAGGATCAGGACGTGCCGCAAGCTTGCACCGAAAAACAGGAGAAGAACTCGGAGATGAAACCATCGCGGAAGGAGCGTGGCATTCTGAACATACACCACCTGGCGTTCGATCCAGAGTCACTGAAAGGACTACTGGACGACGAACCGTCCCGTAACTTCGAGGCAGTACATGTCGCGTTTCCAGAAGATGAGAATGCTGTGGGTATAGATGTGGAAGATGAGCAGGGTAACAAGCTCGTTTGGAAAGAGGGAAAGCCGCACATCGCGTTGGCTGTCATTGAAGCTGAAGACAAGACTGCTGTCAAGGAGACAAATGAGCGACCGGCAAAGCCTTCAGATGAGCTTCAGGCTGCGCCAACGAAGACGACATATCAACCAGCAGGCGGCTTTGGTTTCGATTACTCGGACGAAGAAGACGACACACTCTTGAACAATGAAGTGGCCGAGACTAAAGTTATTGAGGACAGGAGCAACGACATGTCCTCAGACCCGTCTCCCTACCTTTGCATACCCTCCTCCCCACCCGTATCGGCCGCAGAGTGTTCATTCCAGTCTCATTCATCTAGTACGTCTTCTCCATCCTCACCATCCCTTCCAGCTCTTCCGAACAAACGCGAGAACGGGAGCGCGGAAGCAAGTCAACCCAACAGTGGCTCCTCCTCACCATCGTCTCGTAAGCGCAAGTCGTTATCAAGCGAGTCAAGCGAAGAGAAACAAGCTATTAGTGGTGACGAGGAAGAAGGTAAAGAAAACTCCGACCCTCCCATGAAGCGAAATTGCAGGACCAGTCTATCATCCGATTCCTCGTCTTCTCGATCTGCAACGCCAATAGAGAAGTTGCGCAACTCTCCATCAGCACCAGCCTCACCTTTAGCGGACCTACCTCCTCTACCATCTTCGCCTGCATCTCCAGATGGTTCGTCGTTGTCTTCTGTATCGTCTTATGTGGACTCCGCATCATCGTCTCAGTCGCCTCCTGCACCCCTTCCGCCGCAGCCAACGACGCCACAGCACCGCATGCAGACGCGTGCTATGACACGCAGTGTAAGTACCACACCGGCGCCTCCGGATGCGGCGTCTACGAGAGCAACGCGTTCATCAAGGAAGTGATAGAAAGAACGTCGTCAGCATAGGAGACAGAGGGGGCTGATGAGATGGATGGAACTGGGGGAGAAGAGGGGAACGAGATTGAACGAGGTTAGATCTCATGGATCAGTGTTGTTATATAGGCTTTTGCGCGTCGTGTTCCGTCGACAGTTCTCGTGTGTTTTGTTACGACTAGTGTCAAGACTATTCCATTCCTTTAGTCAACGAGAGTTTCCAAATGTGGTCGCGGAAGTTGTGAAAAAATTAACGAATTCGTATTCAAGAAGAACAGAAAAGCTTTTGTGGGTATCAAACGACTCACTACGCCCCGACTAAACATGCGCGTGTATTAGATATGGTGTCGTATGCTCCACAATGACAAGCGTACGCAAGCGCGGAGAACCTCGATAAAAGTTGCAAACGTAGCTCATTCAGAGTCGTCACCTCCGCTGTCACCGCTCTTGTCATCCTCCTCGTCTTCCGATTCGCCCTGGACATCGTCGTCATCATCGTCGTCGTCGTCGTCGTCGTTATCATCGCCGCCACCCTCTTCTTCGCTATCGTCTTCCAGTACGACCTTCTGCTGTGGTACGGGTTTTGCTGCTGCCCTTCGGCTTGGCCGACCCGTAGCTGTGACTTCACTTGCCTTTCCCCACGCCGCTTCGCCCTCTTTGATTGCCTCGAGGTCTTTCGCAAACTCCCTCTGCTCTTTGATCTTGGCTGCCTTTTCAACTGAGTATTTGCCATCCATGCCCACATCCTTCAGCCAACCCTTGAGCACGCGGATCTTGTCCTTCGAGGTGTCGCACTGGGACAGTTCGGGGTCGCGCGACCAGACTTTTCGAATGCCGCACTTCACGAGCCAGCCTTGGAGTCGCTTGACTTCAGCGGTGTCGGGATCGTCCTCGGTCTTCGCTTTGGGCGCCGCTTTCGGTTTCGCTGGAGCCTTTTCTTTCTTGCCCTTCGCTGCAGGGGCTTTCTTCTTCTTCTTGGGCTCTTCGTCTATGACGCTGGACAGATCACAGTCAGATACGTCGCCCTTTGTGTCTGCCTTCTTCGCTGGCTCGGGTTCGGCGTCGCTCTCATCGTCGACCGCGGCGCCGGGTCTGGACGTTGGCTTCGGCGAATCCTCCTCGTCCGAATCTTCTGTCACAGTCTTCTTCCCCCGCCGTACTAACTTCTTGGGTGGCTCGCTTTCTGCATCGGATATCTCGGCGGGTGGTTCTGAGAGCTCAGCTTCAGATTCTTCGGACTCGGTCTTCGCGCGCTTCTTGGGTTTCTTGGCAGGTGCCGCAGCCTTGCGCTTGGTGCCTCTGGCGTTCTCGGAGGCAGCCTTGGTCTTCTTTTCGGCAGGCTTCGCTTTGGGTTTGGGGGCGGCTTTTTTGGGAGTAGGCTGTGGTGTGGGCTCATCGGAGCAGAACTTCTCCTACATATTTTTAGTACCTGTTAGGCATTGGAAGTCGGGCTTCATACCACTGCGTCTACGATGACTTTCTGTGACTTCTCTTTCCATGTCGAGTCTGTCTTGAAGAAGCCTTCGTCTAGGGCTAGCTCCTTCTCTGCGCGCGCCCGAACGCGCTTGACGGTCAGATCCTCGCTTTTTCCAGATTTGTGGATCGCGATGACAATGTCGCGCAGTTTGTTTGAAATGTTCGCCTCAGAGGGCCGGTCTGCTTCGGAATCCGACATGATGCGCAGCGCGTTCGCAGATGGTGTTGATGATCGACGGCCGTACGCGATAGACGCGGCGGTTAGGGCAGGCACGCCGCCGGTAGCGTACACGTGACTCCGCGGAGAGATCCAATGGCGTCAAGTGGCATCAGGGCCTGCGGGGAATTTGTCGTGTCGAGCCACGGCGATGTATCAGTTGAATCCCATTCCTTCCTGCTGATTGCATGAATCGCATGGTGTCGCCAATGCAGATGCCCATAGATTATGCTGGGCGCCGCCCTTTGACGTCGAGTTGGTCTGTGAGCGCCCCGCGTCTGCTGGATTGGGCAGCTCCACGACCGACGTCACATTTATTCCCAAGTTTCACACAGACACCGCCAGCTTCATTCAGTGTTTTCCAACGCGGCCTACACCTGTCAGCGACCGAGCTGCATGCCGCCAGTCCCGTCCGCCCCTAGCCCCAGTCATCTTTAACTTTAGCATCTGCCCGGGTTGTAACTGCGCCCTGCCGTCTGCCAACTCTGGCCGTTTGAGCTCGGAACCTGCGAGAAGCCGCCTCCACCTTCGAGCGGGCCTTGATCTATTATCATTCTTTCGTCACGCCAGCACCACAATTAAAATAACTGATCCCTCCCCCCTCGTGCCAGAGGAAACCTACCCACACCGCCTGCTCACCGGCCCCAGCCACGTTGCGGAGGTGAATGCTGACCTCGCCCAACACCCTACGCCGCAGATAAATTTCCTGTCAGGAGTCTCGCGACTCAACCACCTTACAACCCCCACTATCCAACATATCCACCGCCAAGATGTCTAACGCGCCCACAACCCTCAAGCAGCCCGAGTCGTCGGAGGGACGTCTGCTGCTCGTGTCGAATCGACTGCCCATCACCATCAAGCGCTCCGATGAGGGCAAGTACGACATGTCCATGTCCTCGGGAGGACTGGTCAGCGGTTTGAGCGGACTCTCCAAGACCACCACCTTCCAGTGGTATGGCTGGCCCGGACTTGAAGTCCCCGAGGACGAAACAAAGACCTTGAACGACCAGCTCAAGGAGAAGTACAACGCGGTACCTGTCATGCTCGATGATGAGCTCGCAGACAGGCATTACAATGGATTCTCAAGTGAGACTATCAATACCAGACTATCTCACTGCAAGCGCTAACAGTCGTAGACGAGATCATGTGGCCGCTCTTCCACTACCACCCCGGTGAGATTACCTTCGACGAGTCCGCTTGGGACGCCTACACCGAGGCCAACCGCCTGTTCGCAAAGGCCGTCGCAAAGGACGTACAAGACAACGACATGGTCTGGGTGCACGACTACCACCTGATGCTCATGCCCGCCATGTTGCGCGAAGAGCTCGGCAACACCAAGAAGAATGTCAAGATTGGCTTCTTCCTGCACACACCATTCCCCAGTTCCGAGATCTACCGAATCCTCCCCGTCCGCAATGAGATCCTGCTCGGCGTTCTCCACTGCGACCTCATTGGCTTCCACACATATGACTATGCTCGTCATTTCCTGAGCAGTTGCTCGCGCATTCTGTAGGTGTCAACCTAAGGGCAGACTTCGCACTCACTAACTCGGACCAGGGGACTTGCCACAACACCAAACGGAGTCGAGTTCAAGGGCAAGGTCGTTACTGTCGGCGCTTTCCCCATCGGTATCGATCCCGAGAAGTTCGACGAGGGTCTCCAGAAGCCCAAGGTACAAGAGCGGATAGCAGCCCTCGAGAAGAAGTTCCAGGGTGTGAAGCTCATCGTTGGTGTTGATCGCCTCGACTACATCAAGGGTGTACCACAGAAGCTGCACGCTCTCGAGGTGTTCCTCACAGAGCATCCCGAATGGATCGGCAAGGTCGTTCTTGTACAAGTCGCCGTTCCTTCTCGGCAAGACGTCGAGGAGTACCAGAACCTCCGCGCAGTCGTCAATGAGCTTGTTGGTCGCATCAACGGCAAGTTCGGCACTATCGAGTTCATGCCCATCCACTTCATGCACAAATCGGTCTCCTTCGACGAGCTTATTGCGCTCTATGCTGTCTCAGATGTCTGTCTCGTGTCTTCGACACGCGACGGTATGAACCTGGTGTCTTACGAGTACATCGCGACACAAGAGAAGCGACACGGTGTCATGATCTTGTCCGAGTTCACTGGTGCTGCACAGAGCTTGAACGGCAGTCTTATCGTCAACCCATGGAACACCGAGGAGTTGGCGGATGCTATCCATGACGCAGTCACCATGGGCGATGAGCAACGCAGTCTAAACTACCAGAAGCTGTCCAAATACGTCCGGAAATACACTAGGTAAGTACCCACGATCACATCTCGACCGACACGTTCTAACTTCACATAGCGCATGGTGGGGCGAGTCGTTTGTCACAGAACTTAGAAGGATCTCGGAGACACCAGACCGCAAAGTACACTTCGCTAACGCTCCAGTCGCGGGAGTTGATGACGCTACAAAGACTGCTGGTGAGACGAGCTCAGAGCTACCGATTCGTCAGGAAACTGGCAACAAGGACAAAGAGTCAGACCCGGCCGCTGCTGTCGATGCTCAAAAGGAGATCGACGGCGCATCTAGCCGATAGGCGCTGTGCCCCACGGTGAGCACCTCTGATTATTACGACGGATGATTTCATGTGACGAAAGTTCGGCGTGATGGATTCGCTTGGGTTAGACGATTGATGAAGGGATCCGATTCTCACAGTACCCCCTCAATTGCTAGATCCTCTTACCTAGAAGCTGTAGTGGAAACATCACTGCAGTAACAATATACCCCTTCTACAGACGACCTTTTTTTGTACTCTAATCGTGACTGTTTTGTTCCGCGAGGGAGTTCGTACCTTCGTGAGAAACAGGTACACGAGAGCGTGGGATGTTCCTGCCTACGAAGGTCACTGCCAAGCCATTAGCGCGTCATCATCCGCTGTCGCAAACCTCACACGCAATTTCGCGTCTTCTGCGCCCCCAACCCCCATCACGCCGACAAGAAAACTTCCACCGGCAACTTCGGAAACGATTGGTAACGAGTTTGAGTTTACGCGTCAATACGAATCAGTCCTCGACGTTGACGCGCAAAACACGCTCATGAGAAACCACAATGGAGCGACCCGCGTCTTTTATTAGAAGTCTGACTACGTAGGTCTGACACTGACATGACCGAATCTCAGCAGTCGACTTAATCAGCACCGCCTATCTACCACTCAATTAAGCGCCACCAAACTCACGCTCCACGAAGTCGACAAAAAGGAGCGTACGTGTGCGGCTGCTGCGCTAGCTCCGAAGAAACGCCAGACGCTCCTTCCAAATAGTACCAGTCCCCTCAAACACCGACATTCACTGCCATCACAAACGCCAAGTCACCGCATGCGCTACCATCATTACTTCTGCTTGAACATCGCTGCTTCCCATCCGTACGCACGAGTTAGTCGACGTCCATACCGTCTGGCCAACGTCAACGGCACTTCCCCGCTCGGATGAGGTTCGTGGAACTGGATACCGCGTGGCAAGTTCAGTTTCTTTGGTGTGAACTGCCACGCAGACCCGTGAAGCTTCTCGACGGCGAATCCAAGCTTGGTGAGCGTAGCCACAAGCTGGTCCCAGCGGATCTTGCCCGGGGGTTCGCTGTCGTTTGGCATATGGAAAAGTGCCTTGATCACGATGTAGGCGTCCTTGCCGACATGGTACAATGGTTTCGACACGACCACCGGTTGCTCATGCGCATCTGGATTGACACCCCCACCCCTGGCCGTAACATTCATAACGCCATGTGTCTTTGTTTTGGTTTTTCCTGCAACGGCAAGACGGTTGAAGTTTCCGGTTATCTCTTTCGTTGCATCATGGAAGATCTCGGACATGGCCTGATACTCGAACGTGATGGGTGATGTTGGCAACTCACCATGCGCTTTCGGGTCATGCCATGGAGCTGTCCTTCGCATTGCGCCACCTTCATCGAGTATTCTACGTATGACCACGTGTTGGGAATAGCCCGTCCGCTTGCGGAAAGCATTGTCGACATATCTCCAAAATTTGTCAAGGTTTCGTTCCGCTTTCCGGCGCACTTCGACAGCCTCTCTAGTATGAATGTCCTCGCTTGGGTAGTCGAACTTTCCATCTGTTGGGTTTCCAAGGTCGGGCGCGACTGCACCTCCCGAGTTTTCCGCTAGAAGCATCGCCCAGCTCTCCATGGATTGTAAGAAGCTTATGATCCACATGGGGTATACACGACCGGTGTGCACAGATTCAAAATACGGCCTCAGCCAGGTATAACAGGAAGATATCCGCAATTGGTGAAGACATTCGATACAAGCTGAATATGGAGTCAAGACTTCCTCTATGAAGGGAGAGAGTTTGTCTCTTGCTGAGGGGTCTCGTGTGCAATAGGTTTCGAGGCAGTCTAAACCGAAATGAGAGAAGTCGACTGCTCCAGGGAACGCGGTAGCTCGGCTTAGAAGACTTAGCACACGTCTGCCAGCGAAGTCGTCACTCTTTACTGGCTCGAACTTATAGCTGGACATTTCTGGTACAATCGACCTGGTCCGAAGATGACGAAGTGGCGGCGATCCTATAGAGTATAGGTTGACGAGTTCCGCGACATCGCCACAACAGATGGTCAACATATAGTACAACTTCTCCACGGTACTGTAGTAAATCCCAAGTAGCTCCTCGCTTGGCTTCGCCTGCAAACACGATGCGTGGAGGGTTTCGACTTGAGTCGACAATTGATAAAGCTTATCCCAGAGGATCAGGTTGGAATAGGCCTTGGATAACATCTCACGGAGGACGAGAGAATAGAATGCCTTCGTTCCCACCGTCTTACATGGATCACCGGCTTCGTTCAGGATGTTCTCAGGACGGTGGTCTGCATGCTCTTGGACATGATCCGCAAAATACGCAGGGTCTTCGCGCAAGGCCCATGCGTGGTCTTCCAAATGCGATAGTACTGTTGAGATCAAGTGCCGGATGCGCGCAACGTTCGGGAGGCCTCGCGAACTATATGGCGCCTTTCGATGTGCATCTGCAAGGCTTCGTTCCAAGTCTTCCTGGTCTGACAAGCTCGGTGGCTCAGACGTGAGCGGGTAAGCATCGCTGCAAAGCATCTCTGGAAGGACATCATGCATGATGTTTTCGCAGCATGCGACAAGAAACTTGAGGATACCTTCCTGGATGCGAAGGGTCTGCAAGGCTGACCCTACAGTATACCCAGGTTCCTGCTCATCATCTTCCTGTTTAGGCTGGGCTTCGTCCTGAAACCCTTCGACGCGGCCGTACATCTCTTCTTGGAACTTGTGTGTCTCTGGGTCTCGCTTTTCGAGCTGGACAGTGACATTCGGGTATCGGGTAGCTTTGATCGGTCTCGCCAATCCCGAAAAGCTGAGTTCGGATGAGGCGAATCCGGCAGGATGGTTGCGCGCTCTAGCATTTATGAAGACGAGCAAGGACTTTGAGTCTGACAGATCCTCTAAATTGAGGTAAGGCCATAGCTTGTTTCGAGTTGGTAAGTAACCAGGATCTTTGCAAGAGCAATTTACGCAATCGACGTGCAATTCGCCCATGTCGGGTCGGTGCATGTCCGGGATCCCAGGAAGGACTGCACTGAGTAGTTCTCGACGCTTCGATGGCGACTTCTTCCTCCATCGACTCCGTATAGTGGCCTCGTGTCGCGCCACGATCGCATATAGACGGCGCCAGTGGGTGAGAATGTTGCGGCTCATCGTGCTTGCTGAGGAGATCACCAAGTCTGGCGGTAAGACAGGCTTAGCGTCATGGTCCGACAGAATCCCAAGTATTTTATCGACATCGTCCATCTTGCAGGTCTGTGACTATGTCAATACAGTACGCGTGATTGCAAGAGGAGAATACATGCATCGATGGTATATTGCTGCGGGTGTATCAGGATCACTGAAGCAGTTCCGCGACTACTACTTGCTCGTGGCCAATAGATAACTTCGCGCCACTGTATCCGATGAAGGATTGGGCGTAAGAAGCCAAAGGTCGTGTAGTGTTTAGGCAAACGCCGTTTGTGTGGCGCTATGACCACCAACAGATAGTCTTAGTGAAGCGCAAGTTGCGCGTGTGTGCATCGATGAGACTACTGGACAAGTCAGCCTGAAATCGCAATATCCCACATCTTCAGTAAGCGTTGTCATATCGTGGAGATCCATCATAGGCATGCGCTGTCGTATCTATCCGGTGGAATGCTGGGTGTTTTTCCCTCTATCAGTCACAGTTCTGCCCCCTCCTTCTGCATATTACGCGGATAATTGAAGACTGGATCTCTCGTATTGGATGTACGCTTGAGCGCTCTTCTCCCAAACGCTTGTAGTTCACATTCGCATAGGCTGTTCTGATAGCGGTCAGACGTCCGTCTTATTTGTCTGCAAGTACTCTCGCGTCACACTTGGGCAACACGGGTGTATACGCCATCTGAGGAAAGCTATTCCCATGGGAGTTGTTTTGTCATCTATTGGCTAACATGCTCAATTCGATTTGTCTGCTCGTTGTAATATTATCGGGCGATTTGATACTGGAATGCATCATCACGCATGGGTATAGTATGATTTGCGGAAGTCGTGAGTGGCTGATCGTGGCCATTATGCGTTAGGAGAGTACCCTTAGCTATAGTCTATTTGGATTGATAGCATCTCACACACTCTCGATTGAGCTATACAAGTAACGCAGGCAACATAATGCCCAGGTGACGTACCTGACGGCTCCCACTTCCTCACCTCCCGCCGCACCTCCCAAGTGAAAGGAGTGCTCTTTCCCCTCCGGTCCTACACCCACCTCTATATATAGCATTACCAGCTCCCCCTACTGACCTTCTACACCACCCATCCACTTTCTCCACATCTCCACTATGAAGTACCTCAGTATCATCACCTTCCTCACAAGCCTTACCGCAACCGCCCTCAGCTCCGCCGTACCTCATGGCGTACCCCCCGACTGCACCCATCACAACAACGGCGCCTGCGTCTCCTCGCCCGCACAGTGCACAGAAGGCGAGCTGCAATGCCTCACTACCCTCCATAGTGGCTACGACGGCATAAACATTTGCGAGCATGGAAAGTGGGAGGCACGCGATACATGTCGCTGCACCGATAAGCCAACACCTCAGTGCATCGACGCTACGCTTTCTTCTCGCGATAACACCCTGAGCCGCCGATGCGAGGAAGGCGTACCGAAATGTATGTTGCGGGAGAACAACGGGAACGGAGGCGTGCTCTTCAGGTGCAAAAACGGGTTCTGGAAAACTGCTATGCGTTGTCGGTCTTCTGAGCGTTGTCATGATGGGAAGCTGGCTACTTGTTCGTGGCTTCGTGCAGCTTAGTAGGATGGATAGGGGAGGGGTTTTGGTTGTTGTCGTCGCTGTTGTCGGAGAGCTGGGCAGTGCTATGAGCTACGGGAGTCATAACCATGGGCAGTGTACATGCAGATGGGACGGATGAGTTCTTTATCACTTTTTTGTATTGTTGTGACTACTATCAACAGGAATGGAAGCATACTATCATCACCATCTCAAGGTATCGCTACATCCCACCACTCTTCAAACGCCGCCAACACCTACTCATTGCGTACAACCCACAGTTTACATGTTTGCCAACAGGTACCTCAGACCAGCCCACATCTCTTCACCACTTGGCAAGATCTGCGCAGCTGGCAAGACGAATCCGTAGTTGCCGGTATCCCTCAACTCAACCGTCATGGAGTAGTTTGCCTTAGCAACCTCGAAAGCATAGTCCACAGAGTCGCCGCTGACCTGGTAAATAGTGTTGCAAATAGGGCCTCCCGTGAACGTAGTTCCATGCACAGCCTTGACAGCAGCAATGGCGCCCTTGGTAAGAGAAGCATACTTGGAGGAGTTGGGGACGACGCCGGAGCATGTGTAGCCGTATGGGTACATCCAAAGCTGGCTGTAGGCGTGGATGTCCATGTATAGCGCGATTCCGCGGCCAGCAGCTAGGCTGTCGAGTTGGGCCTTTAGCAGCTTAGTCTCTATACCGTCGCCTGCAGATGGGCCCTTGTAATCTTGAGCGCAGGGAGAGGTCGATGCGCCTTGGGGTAGGTCCCAGTGAGATGGCCAGTTGCGGTTGATGTCGCGGCCTACGCAAGACGCGGAAGGAGTGGTCTGACGGTTCTTGCGCCACAGACGGTCGGCTGACTGGGTGTAGGCGAAGCCATCTGGGTTCACGATGGGGAAGATGTAGAAATCGTACGAGTTCTTGAATCCAGCTGTGGTGGAGTCGGTGGATGTGAGGAGCTGGTACGCAGCGTACTCAACGACCATTGTTGTGATCCATTCTCGTGCGTGCACAGTTCCGTGCCAGACTACAGCTCTCTTGGATCCTTTGCCGCCGCTGCCCCAGATGTGGATACCCTTGATGTCGCGGCCTTCAACCGATTTGCCAGCAGAGACTACTTCAGCGTTCTTTGGGTACGCCGCGGCAAGGTCCGTGATCCATTGCATATGATCGGCAATCGAGTGGTACGCGTTGAACCAGGAGGCACTTGGTGCTGCACCGGCTGATCATCGTTAGCACAAATTTTAGATCTATCCTGGAGCCTACGTTGCCGCTAGATCTTGAACTCTGCGAAATCGCAAGACAATGTAGACTCCTGGCTTGTTTTTCCTTGCATGGAATATATCCAACGTACCGGCATATATGCTGACAGTCTGCTCGTCTGCGATCGAACGGCCAAGATTGTCGTGCATGACCTTGGTCTATCCAGTTGTTAGTGTCAAGAAACGATCGTAGCTAGGAGGCTACAAACTGTCAAAAAGTTAGCTAAGTATATTCAAATGTACTCGTGGCGGTTACTTTACCCTCTATGTCCTTCGTAGACGCTTCAAAGTCCTTGACTGCCGAAGGTGGGACCATAACGTCGACCACATCGCTGGATGCTGGCTTGCCTTTCCACAAGTCAAGTGAGAGCTTGCTCATGACATCGTCGATCTTGGCAGCGTTGGAACCGACATTGACGCGGTACACCTTCCAGTCATCGTAGTTGATCTTCTTCGTGTTGACGGTGGCCGCAGACGCTAAGCCTAAAGAAGCAAGGGCGATGTTGAGGAGCTTCATGGTATGTGAGGATGAAGGAGAAGCGTGAGGGAAGACTCCAGATGAAGGCACCGACTATGCTACCTATATATTCAGTGGTAGACCAGATGATATCGCGCAGCCCTGCT